TCTTTTTGTTCATCGTTTTTTGCGCTTTTTTCGTTGCAATCGCTTTATTCTAGAGTAGTTCGATGAATTCCCGTCAAAAAAGGGTACCCCAAATTTATCGTTAACGGTGCCTTTAAGGTCACTTCACCAACTCTCACAACTTGATCAGACGTTAATTTGCGCGCGCAAAATTGATATCTGTTTGCAAGCCAGCGACTTTAAGCGAAGTATGCACCTGGCTAAGCTCTCGTCGGAAGGAATCTCAAGTACATTAACTCGTTTTTCCAGAGACCGATCATTTGTACAAGGTTCGATGCAGCTGCTATAAAAGCCATATGGCTCTGTTCCGCTGCACTCATGGCAGTGGTCGTGTGAGAATGGGCGATATCAAGTATTTATGGGTAAGTTCAGGAGAATTTTTCGGATTGACCAAAAATTTCATTACCATTACAGCTAAAAGTACCCGAACCAGCAATCACCACTGCGATTCTGAGGCTTTTCATTGACAATCAATCAGTTTATCTGAACCTCTACAAACTCGATGGTGCTGAAGAACTTTACTTCGGAACCGGAGACCCAGGTGAGTTTTCGATCGACCACGCCCATTCAGTACATGGCACGGTTTCAGAGGAGAGAGGGAACGGCACTGGAATCATTTGCATGCTAGAGACTTGATTTATACAAGTTGGAAATTTTAGATAAACTGGCCGCCATCGGAAGAACCCCAAGCAGACCGAAATGGGAATGCAGTGATACGAATGAAAGAGCGTTTGAAGTGATTTCCAATCTTATCAAACCACTCCTCGAAAATGTTCCCAGTCGACTGGGAGACTATCTCTCGGTGGGTTGAAGGGAATCACAAATTCTGCCGCACTATTTAATAAAAGAATCGTATTTTGCAGGAAACAACTCCTAAGAGTACTGTATGGCAGAGAATGGAAGCGCTCGTCTACCCGGTAGTGCTCGAATTACTGGAGGACCTCGGAGAATTTGCAAAAAGGGAAAGCCGGAGATCACGATGGCCCGTTCAAGACGAATCACTAACAAAGCCGTTATCAGGATGTATAGGTACAAACATGCAATGGGTTTTTAATTTTATTAATTTTTAGTTTTTTAATTTTTTTCTAGTTTTACCAATCCTGTCATAGAAAACCTGTTTCATTGCAGCAACCGATGTAACTGAACTGATACTTATCCGCTTATCCGAAAAATTACGTCAAGAGTACGGTACATGCAATTCGACGCCAATTTTGCGATAACTACGAAAGATTTTTGCTACTTTGTCCACGAAAAGCGTCGTAATAAAACCTTCTGTTGCTTGATCTTTTCTTACTGTACCTACAGTTCTTACTGAGAAAACCGTATCTTATGTTGCTATACAGTACTTACAAGAAAAGCGTGCTTGAAATTATCCGGGCGTAAGAAAATAATCACGAGCGGAGTAGAACCTGAAGGCGCTGCTGCCGTAGGCGTGGTTCATAAGACAGATCGAAGATCGATTTCTCTTCGAATCAAATGGCCGTACCTCCCTAACTGAGTAATATGGTAAAGTTCAGAAAGATCGACACTCCACCGAATCAACTGAATGATCCTCAGAACCTATTGTGCTGGCCAAATAAGCAACCAAACGCTATAACGATTCTCCATTAAGGTCCAGTACACGGTGAATCGCCTATATTAAACGATATATCAGCGTCTACTAGCTTGTACTCTTCTTCAATGTGGATTTACGTATTTATGATTTTGATAGCTTTAGCTTCCTATTGAATCAACTTTTCATTGTTTTCTTACCGAGATATTCGCTTTCCTGTCGTTACGAAAAAGTTCCGGAAGATGAGATCGTTGCAGTGCTGTAAAGCCTTTTCTTTCCAACTCAATGTCACATTCTCTCTCAATCTCCTGAAAATTTTGGAGAAATCAGAAAATCGAGAATTTGCATATGCTGGCGTATCCGTATCCGACCCTTCTCTATGGGTCATATCTGTGACGGGTAAAAGTTTGTGCATTGAAATAAGCTTATGCCATGAAAGGATATATGTAGTCTACAGAATTTCGCAAAATTCGGACGAGACTCTTTGATGCCTTCCGCTCTGTACCGTCACTCCCTACAGTTGGCAACGGCCGGGACAACTCCCGCGGGTGCAACCTACTCGGGAAATGAGTCTGGGTAATCAAAACACTTACAATCATTTTCTGCGAAATCGGTTCCTTGGTCATATTGATGAAAGCTAGGAAAACGTCGGAAAAGTCAGATTGTCGACCACGTAGAATGCTAAATTAAGTACAGTATCACTTCTGAAGCTCTTGAAACCTCGATTTTGCAAATTTCTTCTCAGCTGGAGAAACAGTAGGTTCAGTAACTTACTAATCATTGAAAGAACGAATTTTTGCAGCAACCGTTCCAAGGAAAGCACGATAAGTTTCTAATTCGAAATTCCTCCCAATCGGCGTACCACCTGCGGACGGCATTTCTTGAAGAAAAGGCTGCAATCAGGGAACCACTAGAGTTTTTCATAGGATATTCTCATGAAATTAGATACTTAGTGAGAACCTCAGCACCTAATAGAACATATAATGGAAAAAAAGCCTTTTTTGAGTTGCTGTGGGATAGTAATTCAGAAAAAAGAGTGATGGAGCGAAAAAAAGCCAAGTCAACTCAAAAAAAAAATTGATTGGGGCTTTGTAGACAACATTACATGCTCATTCTTTTCAATTTTTTTCAATTCAAAAGATAAATGATAAAGTCTTCCGCGTTAGTGAATTCCGTCTGAGGGATACGCCCTGCCATTCGACTTCTTGTCAGAATCGCAGCGACGATTTGAATGCGCGGGGGTCTGTACAATGACTTGCGGTGGCCAGCCGATCTACAAGTCAGTGCTTCCATCCTCCCAGACGAGCCTGGTACCAACTGACCGACCCCGGAGGGATCGAAGGCTTGCTTAGGCTAAGCGGGCATCGATCCGAGATTTGAATCCGTGCGTGTGAGATAGTGCGCCTCTTGCCACTACACCACCTCCGCCCAATTGTAGTGATATTTTTAATAATACTTATTTTATTCTTCATTGCAATTATATTTACATAATATACCATATTAAATGTTATTTTATCGTATTTAATGTTGGTTGCACACAATGCCGCTCTGCCTACTAATCGATAGCTGGAAATAATCCTAGAAATGGAATTACTCACTAGGTAATATGGATGTGCCTTAGTCGGAGGACTGACAGCTTCTGGATAAGATTTTTGCCTCCGCAATTGGTCAATCTGTAAATTTATCACTGCTATTTCGGTAAAGTTAAAAGATGGAACGGTCAAAAGGTTTGTGACAATAGGTCAGAAAGCGGCGTTGCGCTTTGTCGCTCGTCGCGCGCGGCTAAGTGAGGTCGCAGGAAAATTGTATTCAATTTGTGCGACTGCTACGCTCCCTTTGGCGCTTTCTTACAAAAATGGCTTTTCACAGTGGCACTGCGTGATGCACTCTAACTTTTCTCAAGAGATAAACGACTCGATCATGTCCGACCCTCGTTTATTTCCACAATGCTTTTCCCTATAATTTACAATTTGCTGTTCGGAGTTTTCTGGCTGACCATCAATCAAGCGCTGCCCATTGATGGTTTGGCTCCAGCCTTATGGGATAGGTAGCTGAAGTATGGAGTTCGAGTTGTCATAAATTTTCAACGGTAGTGAGGCTTGCTAACAGCAACGGCTGAGTTGTCGCGCGCGACAGGCGTCAAAACGCGGCTTCCCAGTTTATCGCCACCTACCCCTCCACAAGGAAAACATTGAGTACCTCCTGATTCTTCCTTGTGAGCTCGTCTTGAAGTCGAACGACCCGCTGAAGTAGATGGTTACCAACTGAACCTCGTGTGTGGGGTGTCAGCCTGAGCCCTGAAGTACGCTTTCCAATTCATTTCAGGAATCATTCTTGCTGGTAAGAGATTAGCCACTACTTTTTTTACAAGAGAATTTCCATAATTCCGCTTACAAAAAGGAAAAACCATTCGAGAGTGGTGTTTTGCAGTCCACGGACGTCACTTTGAGAGTTGCTCCTAACGGCAGCTCAAAATTTGCAAATTTCAAACGAAAAAAAAAACCATTTTTGGAGCCACAAAGATCGATGTAATCGAAAACGCCGAACTTTTTGATTTTGTGACGTTTCAAAAACTATAGGGCATTTTTTGGGATCAATTAAACAGCAGTGGCTTGGGAAGTTAGCAAGAAGGGGATTATTATTGTACGAGTTTACGCATTCAAATACTTTGACGACTATAAACGGAGTTCCAGTCCTCGGCGCGCACTGAATCCTTCCTCATTCGACTTTTCACGGACATAGAACCAATTTATTTTGGAAGCACCACAATGAAATTCCGCATATGAGATAACGTACCTGACGACACGGTCGATAATGAAGTGAGGGAGTTGCTTTCGATCGAGGATGACGGTGACGGACGGCGAGCTTCTTCACGATTATCTGAATCAAAACTAGTTGTAGGAAACAGTTGGTACTACTTGATTTGCTACTGTTTTATCATAGTACCAGTCGGATCGCCCAGCTAACGCCGGGCTCTCCTCCTTCTTAGGAAATGCCCGGCTACGCCGGGCATCTTCCTTTTCATATAAAGTCGGATCGTCTGGCTAACGCCAGGGTATCCTCCTTACTGTGTCAAATACCTCATCCCGAGAAATGTTGAACTGAAGAATTTTTTCCCTTTTTT